TCCTAGTTCTTTCCTATAGACATTTTCTCTGCTTCAGATAAATCGTTCCAAGATTTATTCTGATTCTTTCCAATTAAAAAATATTCTAGACCTCAGCTGGTTCAGTTTAAATCTCTCTATGATTTATCCTGATTCTTCCCCAGTAGACACTTTCATGGTTCAGACAAATCACTCCAAAGATTTATTCTGATTCTTTTCCGGACTTCTAATGGTTCAGTTTAAATCTCTCAAGGATTTATCCTGATTCTTTCTAGTTAAAGATTATTCAGGACTTATGCTATTTCAGTTTAAATCGACCAAAGGTTTATTCTGATTCTTTTCCAGTTGAAGTCAGTCTTAGACTTAATCTAATTTCTATCAACAATCACCTTTGGATGGCATCTATAAGCCTATCTCCGACAATTCTCCATCATTTCTCCAAATGGCATCTTTAAGCCCGTTCCTTACACCTCAACCTCAAAATCACCAGAGTGCAAATTTCTGGGCACTCTAGTGTCCAATCATCTTCCAGCTTTAAGTCACGAATGGTAGATTCAACAATCTAACTCTTCAGGTTTAAGAAGATTGAACAGGGGAAGTTGTTGTACCCCAAAATTTTCCCTCTCATTTCTCAAAGGAGCATCCTGGACCCTCAGTTTTGCTTCTGTTAAGTTTCAAGTCTCAGATTACAATTTTCCAAGAAAGTCATTCACAAGGGCAAGATGGTCAAAAGCACACTAAAAGTCCAACTTTGACTTTTGGATCAAAATCAAGTTTCAACAATCATATTTCATCAGGATAGGAAATTAGTTCATCAAGAAATCAAAAGTTAGAAATTACTTTGAAAAAGTCAAATTTCTAAACACTTAGAAAATTTCCTAAGTGTTAATAAAATATGACAATTTCAGAACTTTTGGGCCAGTCCTCACACAAGTACAATCAGAATTTGCAAAAAAATGATTCAGAACACGACTCTTCGATCAGAACATATGTGAGCTGTGTTTTTCGATCAGAACACGACTCTTCAAATCTCATTCTTCAACATATGGATACTATGTTCTACTCTTCGATCAGAACATCACCCCTCGAATCTCACTCTGGTCTTTCCACTCTTCGACCAGAACATCACCAAGCCCTAAAATCTCATTTTGAACAGTCTGTTGCACTGTTATGACACAGTACTGCATCCGACTGCCACAACACTCCAAATTACTGTTGATCCAGTCCACGCCTGTATTTTTCTCAAACCCCATATTTGTACAAAATTAGCACATAAAAGTTGTATTTAAAAAGTAATGAAACAATATGACAAAAGGGTTCAAATTCGATTTGTTTTCCCCCCAAAACCACAACAAACTCATCTAAAAATAAATGATTCCACCACACGTCTAAGGGGATGGCTTTTGGGAGGAGAAAGTTATTGAATACAAAAAGAGAGAAAAGAAAACATTCAAACACTCTTAAACATAGAATTCTCAAAACAATACCCTTGTTCTTCCCTTTAAATCAAATAACTTAACATTTATGTTTCGTTTCTTGCTAACCCCAGAGCATTTGAAAGCAGCAGCTCAAGTCTCAAACACACGCTTCAGATTCAAGTTAAGTCATCCTGATTTTGAAATTTCATTCAGAACATCATTAAAAATATAAATATCATAGTGTTGAGACTGTATATATCATTGCCCAAGTAGAAAAATTATGGATCAGAACTTCTTGAAGAAAACTAGGCTCAGAATTAGGAATAAAACTTCTATAAACTGTCGTGCTTTTATTTTTCTGTTTTTCTGTTGTTAAGAACTGAATAAGTTGCAGATGCTCTGGCTAATGTAAGTAAAGAGGTGAAGTGTAACATTAGAACTTCTAAGTTTTTTCACACTATTGTAACACAACACACAAAACTTCTAGTTTTTCTTTCTCACTGTTGTAATACAACACACAAAACTTCTAGGTCTTTCTCATTGTTGTAACATATCACACAAAACTTCTAGGTCTTTCTCATTATTGTAACACATCACACATGACTTCTAGGTTTTCCTCACTGTTTTAACATCCAGAACTTCAGCGTGCAGCAACCCAGAACTTCTGGTTTCCTCTAACGTTTCTTTCTGAACTACAGCGTGCCTAGCATCAGAACTTCTGGTCCCTCTCATTTTTGTTTGCAACAACATGCTGATCCTGTTTTCATTATTTTTCCCTTTCTTTATTATTTTTATTATTTTTAGAATTAATACTATTTTTATTAATATAAAAAAGGCATAAAAAATATTTTCTTTTTATTAACTAATTATTTTTCTTTTAATTTATTAAGACCAAAAAACCCCTTTTTAAATCAAATCCTTTCCTTTTTTTGTATTGTACAATTCAATATGGTTGTAATAGATAATTAGGATTTAAATTCTTGCAATCCCCATTTATAAATATGTATCCCCACCCCTGAAATGATGTAATAGCCTAGGAATTATTTTCCGCATTTTTATTGCTTTCATACATTGTTAGTAATTAGGGTGTATGGCAAGATAAAAACAACAAGTAGATAACCAAAAGTTCAAAAGACAATGTATATAATCAAACACACTACTCACACACATTTACCCCTAAGGTAATTCCACTTGTTGCCTTAGAAAAATAGTCATGTCCCTCGAATATGGGCATTTTAGCAAAGACCCTCGATAAAAGATCGTAGTCCATCGATGACCCTCAATATTGCTTTCGATAAACGATTTAGTCCTTAAACGACATTGCTAAAACGTTCCATAGGTTGCCTTTTATGACTATACAAACGTCCCACACCCGTCCCTTCACATCCAATGATGGAGCTTCTTACCAAATCAATGGTAAGATAACAACTTCTAAAGGAGAAGGAAAATAACGTTTAAGACCTTTTGAGTAGGTAGGATACTCCTAGTTGCTCGCTTGTTCACAACAAAAACATTTTATACACCCACAATTTCACTTTGAATTTTTTTTCAAAAGACAAAACACTTTGTACGTGTTCTTATAGAGACGAGAACCATTACAAAGACATTTCTTTTCAAAATACTTTCAAAACCCACACTACAAACATATTTCCAAACAAAAAAGCAAGTGATCTAGCAAGCAACTAAGATCCCGTAGATAACAACATATGGAAAAGATGCTAATACCTTCCCTTTTCATAATCTACCCCCCGAAATCAAGAAATAATCTCGAAAGGTCTTTCCTGTTCTTTTCATACTTTCCTTTTGGATAAAAGAAAAGTCGGTGGCGACTCTTGCTATCCGCAACAATTGCGATCAAATGTAAAACACCTAAAGCAGTTCTCCCACCATGTTACAATATGGCTGATAAAATTTGCTGGAAAGATATTTGGAGAATTGACGCCATGGAACAAGTCCGTTACTTTGTTTGGTTAATGCATCATGACGACCTTCTCACTAACACTAAGAAAGGTAGAATGGGGCTTGGAAGTGCTCTGTGTTGACTTTATGGTGATGTTGAAGAAGATACTCTGCATGTGCTCGGAAATTGCCCTTGCGCGGAGAGGCTGTGGAGACATGTGGTTTCAACTAACAAACGTGTGTTTTTTTATGCAGGTTCCTTAGAAGATTGGCTTCACACTAACATGTTGACGAATATGGGTGTGAATGATGTAGATAATTGGAAAAGATTCTGGGTCACTGCTTGTTACAACCTTTGGATTTGGAACACGAAGGAGATCCATAATGACAACTATAATAGGCCGAAGTGCATGCTTACATTCATTAAGAGTCAGATTCATGACTACGAATTCACAAAGTATGCTTCAAAAATATCAAATACACCAAGTATGGAAGTGGGGATGGTGAATTATGATACTTCTTCAAGGGATTGAGTTAAATTGAACAATGATGGAGTTATGGACAAGAGAAGCAATGCAGGCTGTGGCGGCATCATTAGAGGGTTCGAGGGTGAGTGGCTTGGCGGTTTCTCAAAGCAGATTGGCATTTGTAATGCGTATACTGCAGAATTATGAGGAGTTTTTGAAGGTTTACGTCTTGTTGAAGAGACATGGTTCAAGCAAATCATGATTGAAGTTGACTCCCAACAAGTTGTTAAGGATATTACTTGTAGATCATTGTCAACAATCCTGGGACATAGTATTTTGGGCAGGATCAAGACTTTTTTTCCAACGTGACATTGAGATATCTATCAGACATATCTTTCGCGAAGCTAATATGTGCGCAGATGTTCTTGCGAAGAATGCCATTCACCAACAATACAAGTTTCTTAAATTCATTGAGTGCCCAAATTTCATTAAGCCAGACTTTGATAATGATTTAGTTGGGAAGCAATTCCCCCGTTTCTTTCCAGTTTAGTTTCTTCCTCGGGGCTTTGGCCCCTCGTATAACAAAAAAAATTATATAATTTAAATCAAGAATTTAAACTCCAGTGATATAGGAGCTCCTGCAAAGGACGATATTCAGGAAATACTTCGATTCCTAGTAGAACGAACTCTGGATTAATCAAACACCATTCCCTTAGAAATTAGAGTGTGAAAGTTAAAAAAATTATATAATTTAAATAAAATAATAAAATATAAAAAAAATTTGCATATATGGATTGTGAGATAGAAGAACGAAGTAATGTTTTTCCTAAAATCTAACCATTGAAAAGCATCCACGTAACACTAACATCCACGTGTACGTCAGCAATTGGACCAAACCATGTCACAAAACGTACATCCAAAAGTCCATTCAACCATAGAAATGACTCGTTACATTACCGTGCAAGAAGGGGTTGAATCAAGCCATAACCACCACTGCATCACATTCCCCACCATAACATAACCAAATCGCGAACGAAAGTGTGGAATGCACTAATTCATTTCTATCACAGTGGCTTCCTCAGGGTCACAACAGCAGGGAGGACTATCACGAAGAAAACCTTCTTCTTCATCGCAACAAACCGGGTCGACCCGAATCATATACAGAGAATCAACCGTTCATTCCGATTCGGATCTTCCGATCTGGCAACGTAACTGGTTCATCGCATTTCTATTTGTGATGGCTCTTGGATTCTTCGCTCTCGCTATTTTTCTCTTTCTCACTCTCGATCCCGATGTTTCTCCTTCTTCCACCGCTTCTGCTTCCGCTGCATCCTCAGAGGGCGTCGAGGTTTTTATTTTTCTTTGCTTTCGCTTTCAGTTTCGTTGTTTAGGGTTAGGGATCTTGCAAATTTATAATTGATTTGGTTTTATCTGGAAATTGTATAGGTTCAGATTACTTATGGTTCGGTTATAAAGCTAATGCATGAGAAGACGAAATTTAGGTTGCATTCTCATGATGTGCCCTATGGTTCTGGCAGTGGACAGCAATCTGTTACTGGTTTTCCTACTGTTGATGACGCCAACAGTTACTGGGTAATCTAATCTTCTTCTTCCTATTTATTTAAGCTATGATTAGATAAACGGATTAATTAAGCACTTATAGGATAAACACTTAGCATATAAGTGTTTTTTTATACGCTTTTTTTTCTTCTAACAGAAGAGAAATTAATGGCAAATTGTTGTTATTTTATTGATTATAATTATTAAGTTTTCCTGGGAACTTATACAAATAAGGTGAAAACAATTTATATACATATGATAAGATGTTTTCATAAGGTAATGAGCTCAAACAAGTTCATCCAAGCAGACCTTTAATATCTAAGTGATTTTTGTTATTGTGATGATTTGTGCTGATATTGGTTGGGCATTTGGATATGTGTGTTATTGTTTTCTAGATTGTTAGGCCTGAGCCAGGAACTTCAGCTAAACAAGGCGACACCATTAAAAGTGGCACAATTGTTAGATTTCAGCACATGAGGACAAGGAAGTGGTTGCACAGCCATTTGCATGCCTCCCCAATATCAGGCAATCTCGAGGTGTGTTTTTTTTCCCGCAAGTGTTTATTGCTATATATATGTTTTAGGATTTGTTGGTGGTTGACTTCTGTAAATGTTTCACTTCAATAAGCTGATTCTAAGGTATTCCCTGTGTATGCCCCCTTACATATAGCTGCCAAATTAAAATTGCAAATCACGGGCGATTCCTTTTTAATAGGTTAAACCTCTGCTCCCACTTGCATAAGCTAATGTTGCAAATTGCAATGTGCTCTATTTGCTTCTTTAGATGTGCGATTATAAAGACAAGACTCTGCATTTGGTATCTAATTGAAACAATTTTGCGAGAATCAACTCCTCTTGCACCTTCTTTATGTCTCTGTTTTTGTTTCTCTTGTCAAATTCTCTTGTCTCAGCGACATGCCATAGACCACTGTTTAATTCTATCATTTCACTTTGGAACATTATCTCGAATGCTAAATGAATAGTATCATGCAATCATATATTGTTTTAAAGGATTTTTATATTACATGTTGGTTGTTGACAGCATAACCACTTTTCACTATATAATTATGAAATATAATCTTTTTTATTTTAATCTCTTACCGAAATCTGATTGGAACCTTTTTATAGGTTTTTACTATAACCATTTGATTTTCTAAGTTCTCAAACTACAATGTGCTATAATGTGTCCAATACATATCATCTACGCTGGGTCCTTTTATTTCTTCGTATAGTGTTATTTTCCGTAGCTTTGAGTAAGCTCATCATCTTTAACATTCACCACCCGCCCTTGCTATTTGAATCAATGTTTTAAAAATCGAACCAGATTGAGCCGGCGAGACCTCTCTGTCATGGTTTAATTGGTTCAACTGTTTTTCAACCATTGTTGAATATGAAAACCAATAAAAAAGAGAGAAACAGTTAAACCAACTGCAGTTCAATCTGTTTCACACCCCAGTTTGATTAAGTGAAATTCTAATGAGGTTGAACCAACCCGTGGATTTGCTGGTTATGTTCCAACCATTTGAACTGACCGATTTGGTTCGGTTTTTAAAACATTGATTTGAATAATCTCATCTGTCTCACGTTCATTGTAGACATGTTAATGTTCCAAACTTATTTCCCTGCATGTCATGTAACAGTCCTAGAATTGTGTTTTGAATGTCTATCCACCATAAGGCAACTCATCTTAGGCTGTTTCGTGACTGACTTTCACTTGTATTTACTTGTGTTTACATTGCATATGCTAATTAACCTAAACAATGACAATTATCAGCTTTATGCGCCTTTTGTCGCATAATCAACCCATAATTTCTTCTCCAGCTCTTGCTAATTTGGTGCCATATATTTGGTATCAGACCAATTATATAAATAGAGGGTCCTATGCATTTTTCCACTTTGATTTCTTTGCATTCTTTTCAACCATTTTAGTATTTCAGTATTTCTTCAAACTTGTCTTAAGCCTATCCGCTTATCCTTTGCTGAAGTAAAACACAAGCGAATACGACTAACTGCAACATCCTGATAAATCTCTTAGTTGCTTCTCTATAAAAATCAAATAATAATAATATTGATCATATATGTAAAACACAAGCGAATACGACTAACTGCAACATGATATATCTCTTAGTTGCTTCTCTATAAAATATATGTAAAACACAAGCGAATACGACTAACTGCAACATGATATATCTCTTAGTTGCTTCTCTATAAAAATCAAATAATAAATAATATTGATCATATATGTAATTGACCTTATCCATGGAGATAAGGTTTAGTTGTTCTACTATGAAATAAATCAAGACTTATGCAACTAATCACCACTTATAAGTTATTTTATCATTTATCCATGTTCCCACCTATAGACTGACCAAATAAATTTGACATTGCATAATTTCTTGAATTATATAACTTCAACAGAAAGGACTATTTTTTTTCTTTCTTAAACCTAGACCTTATTTTTTGGTCCTATTTAATTTCCTTTACATTTGAATGAGCTAAGATTAAAGTTAATGTTATGAGTCAAATATAAGCTGTTTTAGTCCTAGTCTGACCATTGAATAACTGGGTTTATATTTGAGTTGAAAATAGGTGAGCTGCTTTGGTGGAGAGAATGATTCTGACACTGGGGACTATTGGAGGTAACATGGTTTTTCATGAACAATAAAATAACTAGATCACTATATTCTAGAAAGTGTTTATATTGGTTTTATTTTCATTAGGCTTTTTATAGAAGGAAGTGGAAAGACTTGGAAGCAGGATCAAAAGATTCGGCTTCAGCATGTTGACACTTTAGGCTATCTACATAGTCATGATAAGAAATACAGTCGGATTGCTGGGGGACAGCAGGAGGTGAGAAATTACCTGGAATCTTAAAATGTTCTTTTGTCTTTCGCCAATACTTTATTGAATTGCTGATCTGCAGTGATATGCACAGATAATTTTATATACCCTAGAAAATTTTGGATACTTAACTTGCTGCTTTCAGTTGTCATTTGTTAGGCACTTAAATGTTAGTTGCTTTGGGTTTTGGCATGCATTACTAATAACGACATTGATGATGATGATATCTTATACCATAGGTTTTTTTTTATAGTGATCCTGACAATTGGAAGTGGATTATCATTATTGATGGACATTTATTGTATTTGACTAGGTTTGTGGTGTTCGTGAAAAGCGCGCCGACAATATCTGGTTGGCAGCTGAAGGTGTCTACCTTCCTGTTACTGAAAGCAAACAAGTTGAGTAGTATCAATAATTAGCATGGATTATGTGATTGGGAGGCTAGCATGGGTAGTGATAATAGAGGCAGATTGTTGAAGGGAAAAATATACGTGAGCACTCTTAGGATGATATAATGATAGAAATATTGTCATAGGTTCACTTTGCTATACTGCAGGTCCTTCTCCCTGCAGAAATACTTGCTGCATCTGTTATTTTTGTTGTGCAATGTGCTAATTGGTAATTTTTCAAATAGGACTAAAAGGATGGATTTAGTAGTGGAACTTTATTTTTCAGGTGAATCAAGTTTTGTCAATAATGCTGATAACTACCAACCCAATGTTCGAAAACTTTTTATTTTTCATTTTAGAATATAAATGAATTAAGTTTGATGATACTGGCTGATTAAAAACAAGTTAATTCAATGATGCTTCATCCACGACTAATATCCCTTTTTTTTGTCTTGTTGCATTACATCAAAGTTATATAATCTTTTTTATTAATGACGGAATCTTAGTTTTGAAGTAAATATTAGTATGGCAATCTTTCAAGATGGTAAGATTTCTCTAGAAAAACTGTCATCGAATAACAATTTTAACATGTTAACATTTGGGTTGCACGTAAGATCTCATACCAGATCCATGAACATGACAAATCCTTCATTACCCCCTAAATTTAATCGTGAATCATCCTTTCATCCTCACCCAATCTTGCTCACGGAAGCTGAGTAAGTATCGATTTTGCTCAGTTTCAAGTGTTATAATTACAACCACAATGCAGAGGAATTAACATCTCACCTCTTAAAAGGTATGAATAGACAAAATTATCCAAACTCAAAATTTTCAAAAATTCCAAATCTATAATACCACACAAAAATTTGAAATTTTCAGAGTGATATTGGAAATTTAGAGGTGATATTGGAAATTTGCTAAACAAGTATGAAATTTATGATATTTGTAAAATTTCTGGTACATTATATTGGAATTTTCAAAATATCTGATATTTTTGAATCAAATATTTTGCAAAATATCTGGTATTTTTGTACCATTTATGTAGCTTAACAACATGTATCGGTATTTTCGAAATTTTCGGTAGTTTAACTTTTTTTGAAAAACACCGAAAATTTAGAATTTTTGACAGTACATGTTTTTCTAATTTTTCTAATGGTTCAGTGAGAACCAGAGGCAAAGATGATTCTATTGCGGGTAGGGTGACAGATAGAGCGGAAGCTCAAGTCCGGGATGACGAGGCACATGTTTCCGAGCTACAGACTAGACGACATGCTATGACCGGTTCTCATCGAAAACGGTTGGCTGAGCAGCAGACGCAGTTCCACGCACCTTGTCATCGAGGACTTAGAGATTCTACTATCGAGGAGGTACATGCTCATGCTCATTTGCATGTGCCTGTGATTGAGCCAACTGTTGAGCATCATATTGAGGAGGTTGTGCCTGTTGTGGAGGGCGCAACTGAGTCGACAGCCGGGCAAGTTGTGGAGCCGGCAACTGAGAAGATTGTAGAGCAGGTTGAGGGGGTTGTTGCTGAGCGAGTCGACGAGGTGTTCCCCACTGATACAGACACTACGACTCGTGCGTTTACGGAGCCATCAGTTCACACTGATGGAGCCTTTCCAAAAGGACCTTCAGACAAGTCCGTGCTAACAGGATTTGCTGACCATGTCGCTTACGGATATGGCATGGCGAGGTATATATTTTATTTTCATTAATTGCATACTTTTTCAAGTGTTTGAAAATTGATTTCTAATTTATTTTTGATTCTTACAGGAGCACCCGGTGCTGAAGATCGCTTCTCATGGTTCGAAGTTGAAGAGAGTCTCATGCCTAATGAGGTTAGTCATAGATTTTCAGTTGTTGGAGTTCGCGCAGTGCTCTTTGACCATGTTGGACACCTCTCTGTTGTCTGCTTTTGTTGAGCGGTGATATCAAGAGACATCATCATTTTATCTTTCATTTGGGGAGATGATGATCACATTCGACCGTTTAAAAAAACTGAATAAACGAACTACCAGAAATTTCAGTATATCTCAAATTTCTGGTACTGTCCGATAAATTTTAAATTTCCGAAATATTAGAAATTTCAAATACACTACCAAAAATTTATATATACCGAAAATTTGCAGGGGTGTACCAGAAATTTCGACATGTCTACTGGAAATTTCGTCCAAAAATTTGTTTATAAGTGATAATTCTGAAATAAAAAAAATTGAGGGATGACATATATAATTTGGGGAATGAGATGTTAAATCCTCCACACTACACTATGTTCAGTCTGTGTGTTCAGCCTGTACGACAACTTGACAAGGCCCAACAAAGGCTTGATCTGGGGTCAACGGTTGCTTATCCGTTTACCGTTGTTTTTCTTCAAGCTTTTTATATTTGGTGGAGATCAATAAGCGATGAAAACGTGGGACTCGGGTGTCTCATTAGTGTTAGTTTTACTCTGAAAATTTATTGATTTTTGTTAATACAAATGGTATAGAACACTCTCAATGCTGAATAAAATCAGTTATTAAATCAAATGAAGCTAAGGCTCTTAAATAGCCATGACTTGAAAGATAATGAGCTAAGAAAAAGGTCACATCTACAACAATCTAAAGAACGTGAATACTTGCTTAAGAATAGGTCCACCAAAGCAAAACAAAATCAAATACTAACATCACCATCCTATTAATTAGGACACTTATTAATAGAATTAAAGACTAAATAAACAAGGATTGTTAATGTCATCACCAACAGTCTAACAATTGCTCCCCTAAACTGAACATGCCAGAAGCATTTCAGTTTACCTCCTCAACTGACTTCACTCCAGGTGCTTCCCTGAATCTTTCAAACAACTCCAACCTCATAGGCTTATCCATAATGTCAGTTAACTGCTCATTTGTACCACAATGCTTCATATCAATCACTTCATCCTTTGTTAGATTCCTTAAGAAATGGAACCTCACATCGATGTATTTACTCCTGCCGTGGAAAATTGGATTTTTTGCAAGTTTTATTGTAGAAGAGTTATCGCACAGAACCTTGACACTTTTACTTTGAGTACCTCCAATCAGTATCTGTTGCAACTAAATGCACTGACATGCACAAGAAGCGGCTGCCACATAATACGCTTTGGTGGTTGAAAGTGTTACCACCAGCTGCTTCTTTGATGACCAAGCCACTGCTCCTCCACTTAACATGAAAACATAACTTGAAGTACTTTTTCGATCATCCAAGTCCCCTGCATAGTCACTGTCTATATAGGCTAGCATCTCATATTCATATCCCTTTTTGTAGAATATACCAAGCTCAGTAGTAGCTCTAATGCATCTGAGAATTCTCTTGGCCGCCATCATGTGAGACTCCATTGGATTGGCCATGAAACGACTTATCATACACACATTATAAACCAAGTCAGGTCTTGTGACTGTCATGTACATCAAGCTTCCCACCATTTGCTTGAATAAGGTTGCATCTACCTTCTTTTCCACGCGTGAGTGTATGTTTCTTTGTTTTGAAATTCAACGAAGCCTTCCGCATTCTCACCATCGTTTTTTGTTTTGGTTTCCAGCGAGGTAGTTAAACTTCTGGAATTTTGGATTGTTGCAACAACTAGTGGACTGATTGGACTTTCCATCAGCTTTACCTCAATGTGGTTCTTACATCAAACTAGTCCTACAACATACAGGTAATTCTACGAAGTTTAAGTTCAATAAAAAAATTTCCCTGCTAAAAGTTGCACAAAAAGGACATAACCTAATAAAAACCATTACAATAGATTGTTAAAACAGAACCGAATTGTTATTGGTTCGTCCAAAACCGAACCAAACTGGTATTAAGAGTCCCAGAAATGGAACTCAACCATATTCTGCCTATGTTTCTGAACCAAACCAGAACTACCTATACAAAAAACTGAATTTTACCTTTTCAATACAAACTGATTATTTGCGAATCCGGTTGTATCGAATTGCTATTATTAACTGATATTAGGACTATTAAAAAAACATAAAACCAAGTGTATCAAATTAATTTCCTTCAACAAAATCCTAACTGTTTCAGTTATTTATTTATGTTGAGTTCCTTTTATAGCCCTCCAATTTCTTTATTTCTGTCTCTTTTGCAATCTTGTAGGTTCTTTAAACAAGATTTCAATCTCTATTGCTGGCATTATAAGTGTTTGTTGGTAGCAATTTTGGTAAAACAATATTTTGATAATGTTTTTTCTAAATGACTTGACATTTGAAGCAAACTGTTTTGAATGATGTCAAAGCAGATGTCTTGACACTTGTCTTCTGAAATGAACGCAACTCATATCAGTTTAAGTTTTATGTTTCTTGTTTTCATGCGCGTCATAATTCAGGATTTGTGACTCATAGCTTGTGAAAAATATAGAGGAATATTTTTCTATTTGAATTATCCTTATGGATTATATCTTGACGTGTTTTCATGGAAATATTCAAAGATTGGAATATTTGTTTTTCAGCCTAAGCCTACTGTTGCGCCTTTATAAGGACTTGCTTCCTTATTCATAAAACTGTAATTTTTGAAGAAGAATATTTTCTTTCTGTTTTAGAAGTCTAAGTCTTTTAATTGTCATACACTCTAGTATTGATTTAATACTTGAGTTGTTATTTGAGTTGTTAATTGTGGATCATTCATAAGCTTTTAAGCATTGAATGATTGAAGTCTTTAAAACTTGTTATTTTAGTTGTTCTTCACTATAAGTGATTGAAGGGATTTGAGGAGCGCCTCATACCTACGTGTGTCTTAGGTAGAAGTATAACACGGATAGTGATTACGTGATTAGATCGTAAACTGGTTGTTTACTGAGGGTCTATGAATTGATACTATTTAGTGGACTTATCCATGGCTTGGTAGCCCCCAGAGTAAGTGTTGTTGTACACTGAACTGGGTTAACAATCCCTTGTGTTTTTACTGTTTTTACTTTTGTTGCATTTTACATTGTCCTCAGATATTTATGTCGTGACATCTCCTTCGATATCTCATATCTGATACCAGGATTTCAGAC